TGAGGAGTGGGGGGTTTTGGGGTGGGTACGGTGGTACAGAGTGTTTTGATGGTAAATGGGGGGGGTTTGCGGTGGGTTTTTGGGAACTTTGGGGTGGGTTTGGTGAGAAAAAGGGACTCTAGGGGTGGGGTTGGTATTTTAGGGTGGGCTTGGGGGGAAATTTGAGCCATTTTGGGGTGAGTTAGGGGATTAATTGGGGGGCACTGCATTTTGAGGTGGGTTTGGGGACATTGGAGCAGTGGAGTGGCTTTGGGGTAGGATAATCTGGAGGGCACTGGATTTTGGGGTGAGTTTGGGGACATTTGAGCACTTTGGGACAGATGATCAAGGGGGTCACCAAATTTTCGGGTTCATTTGGTGACATTTGGACCCCCCCTCATTAACACCACCTTAACGACCCCCCCCAGGTGACGCTGCCCTGTGGTACTCCAGCGATGAGGACGAGGGTGGGAGCGTCTCATCCATCCTGCGCACCCTCAGGCAGCAGAGCGGCGCTTTGGGGCCCCCCCACCCGTCTATGGGGCCGCCCCCCGGTTCCATGGGGCCGCCCCACACCGCAGACCCCCGGTTGCAGAAAGCAGCAGCGTCAGGGGGTGGGGGGCGACCGGCAGACCCCCGACTGCGGGACCCCCGCTTAGCACGGCACAACAAAACGGAGCCGCCTCACCCTAAAACGGAGGATTATCCCAAAACGGACCCTAATTATCCCAAAACGGAGACGGATTATCCCAAAATGGAGGCGGATTATCCCAAAATGGATCCCCACAACCCCAAAGCGGACCCTTCTCACCTCAAATCCGACCCCCTCCCCAAATCCCGTCTTCCCGACGACGAGGACGACGCCGACCCCGAGCGTTCCCTACGGGATCGCCCCGTTGTCATCCCCCTGGAGCCGCCGCCGGGGCAGCCGCCGCGGGACCCCCGCTGTCACCGGCACCGTTTTGTCCCCCCACCGAGGGACGTCACCCTCACCAAGCCCGCCTTCGCCCGCATGGTGCTGTGGAGCCCTGAGGATCTCCTCCCTCTCCCCATCCCCGTGCAGGACGTCACCGTAACACCCGGCGGTGACCCCAGGCTGCACCGCGCCGACCCCCGCCACCGCGCGGTCCCGACCGATCCCAACATCACGACAGAACCTTCTTCCAAGCTGCCAGATTTCGAGCTGTTATCCCGAATCCTACAGACGGTGAGCGCGGGCGGCGGTGACAAAATAGGTGACACAACAGGTGACAAACAACCCGGTGACAAAACCACCGGGCCGGGTGACGCGTTCCCCGTTCCCGCTGACAAACCCACGGGTGCTGGTGACAAACCTACCGATAAACCGGGCGGCACCGAACGCCCCAGCGACCCCCGTGTGCGCAAACCCCCGTCGGACCCCCGGCTGCAAAAAGCTGCAGCCAAACCCCCAGAGCTCGGTGAGTTGGGTGACGATGCGGGCGATGGTGCGGGTGATGCCGGGACCCCCTTGGCACCCTACGACCCGCGGCTGAGCCGTGGCGCGGCGCAGAGCCGCGTGCTGAGCGCCATCAGTCTGTACGACCCGCGGGCACCGCCGGTTGGTGACGGCGTGGGGGGACGTGGGAAGGATCAGCCCTACAGTCGCCGATCGCCGCTGGCGGAACCGGCGCAGGATCGTTACAACAGCTACAACAGACCACGGCCGAGGGGCACGGCTGGGAACAGTGGGAGCAGTGGGGCGGCCCCGGAGGGCACGGAGCAGGATGAGACGGACAGCACTGCGTCACTCAAGGATGTCTTCAAGGGTTTTGACCCCACGGCATCACCTTTTGGGCAGTAGTGGTGGTTGTCGGGCTGTGATGGGGGTTGTTGGGCTGTGATGGAGGTTGTCGGGCTGTGATGGAGGTTGTCGGGCTGGAGTGCTGGCTGTTGGGGTGGAGTGGCAGTTGTTGGGTCCTGATGGGGGTTGTTGGGCCCTAATGGCAGCTGTTGGGCTGTGATAGGGTTTGTTGGGCCCTAATGGGGGCTGTTGGGCTGTAATGGCGGCTGTTGGGCTGTAATGTGGGTTGTTGGGCCCTAATGGGGGTTGTTGGGCTGTAATGGCGGCTGTTGGGCCCTAATGAGGGTTGTTGGGCCCTAATGGGGGTTGTTGGGTTGTAATGGCGGTTGTTGGGTTGTAATGGGGGTTGTTGGGCTGTAATGAGGGCTGTTGGGCTGGAGTGGGGATTGTTGGGCTGTAATGGCAGCTGTTGGGTTGTAATGAGGGTTGTTGAGCCGTAATGGGGGCTGTTGGGCTGTAATGGGGGTTGTTGGGCTGGAGTGGGGATTGTTGGGCTCTAATGGGGGTTGTTGGGTTGTAATGGCAGCTGTTGGGCCCTAATGAGGGTTGTTGGGCTGTAATGGCGGCTGTTGGGCTGTAATGAGGGTTGTTGGGCCCTAATGGGGGTTGTTGGGCTGTGATGGGGTTTGTTGGGCTCTAATGGCGGCTGTTGGGCTGTGATGGTGTTTGTTGAGCCCTAATGGCAGCTGTTGGGCCCTAATGGGGGTTGTTGGGCCCTAATGGGGGTTGTTGGGCCCTAATGGCGGCTGTTGGGCTGTAATGGTGGCTGTTGGGCTGGAGTAGGGGCTGTTGGGTTGTAATGAGGGTTGTTGGGCCCTAATGGGGGCTGTTGGGCTGTGATGGGGTTGTTGGGCTGGAGTGGGAATTGTTGGGTTCTAATGGCGGTTGTTGGGCTGTAATGGCAGCTGTTGGGCTGTAATGGGGGTTGTTGGGCCCTAATGGGGGTTGTTGGGCTGTAATGGCAGCTGTTGGGCTGTAATGAGGGCTGTTGGGCCCTAATGGGGGTTGGGTTGTTAGGAGGGTTGTTGGGCTGTAATGAGGGCTGTTGGGCTGTAATGAGGGCTGTTGGGCTGGAGTGGGGATTGTTGGGCTATAATGGGGGTTGTTGGGCCTTAATGGGGATTGTTGGGTTGTTAGGAGGGTTGTTGGGCTGTAATGAGGGTTGTTGGGCCCTAATGGGGGCTGTTGGGCTGGAGTGGGGGCTGTTGGGCTGTGATGGGGTTTGTTCAAAAAGCTTGGACTCTAATGGGGGCTGTTGGGTTGTAATGGGGGGCTGTTGGGCTGTGATGGGGTTGTTGGGCTGTGATGGGGTTGTTGGGATGTAATGGGGTTTGCTGTTAAGCTGTGATGGGGCTGTTGGGCTGTGATGGGGGCTGTTGGGCTTCGTTGGCTGTTGGGGAGGTTTGGTGTGAATGGTGTGGGAGGAGTGGCTGAAAGTGGGGGAAAAAGGGCAGAATTTGGGGCAAAGGAAGGTGTGGGGTTGTGAGGTTGGGGGGTGTGAGTGCAGGGTGCGGTGTTTTGGGGGAAAGGAAGCGGAGTTTTGTGGGGTTTGGGGGGAAATGGTGAGAGGTGTGGAGTTTGGGAGTGATGTTGTGGGGATTGTGGGGGAAATAACCCAAAATGTGTGGGGAAATAACCCAAAATGTGGGGGGAATAACCCAAAATGTGGGGGAATAACCCAAAATGTGGGGGGAATAACCCAAAATGTGGGAGAAAATGAGGTGAGATGGGCAAGATTTGGGGAAATGTGATGAGAAAAATGCAGGAAGTGGGGAAAAAATGGGTGGAATGAGGAAAAAATGAGGTGAAATGTGGGAAATTTGGGGGAAAATAATGGGAAATGTGTTAAAAGTGGGGGAAAAAATGGGCAGGATGTGGTGAAAATGACCCAAAATGTGAAAAAAATGAAGCCGAAACGTGGAAGATTTGGGAAAAAATGGGCAAAATATGGTGATAATAACCCAGAATGTGCAAAACTGGGGGAAAAAAAAGCCACAAATTATCCCCAAATACCTCAAAAACCCCAAAACACCCCAAATCTCTGTGAAAATGTTTTGTCGTGGTGGATTTGGGCTCATTTGGGGCATTTTTGGGTTTTTTTTTTGTTTGTTTTCCTGAAGCTTCCAATGGGATTTTTTGGGAAATCCCAATCCCCAAAATGCCCCAAAATGCCCCAAAATCTCCATTGCTGCAAAGAATTGAGTTTCGCTCTCCCACCCCCCCAAAAAAATTGGGTGAAATTCTGCCAATTTTGGGCAATTTGAGACAAATTGCCAGCTCCCCTCCAGCTCCAACCCCCCCCCCACACACAAAAAAGTGTTAAAAAAGGTGAAATTGGGCCAAAAACCAGCACTTTTGGGTGCACTCGTCCCCTCCGCCTGTACAGAAGTTGCGCTTTTTTGTAAAAAATCCCCATTTTTACACACATACAAAAAAAAAACCAAAATTGGCGTTTTTTTGGTTGGTTTTTCTTTTTTTTTTTGGCAAAGCTTGAACCGAATTTTGGCTTTTTCAAACTTGTAATAAACTGTAAATAGCACCGTCCCCTTTTGGGTTCATTTCTGCTGCTTTTGGGTTCTGCGGCGTTGTAGGAAAGTGGTGGTTTTTGGCACGACGTTCTGTGCCCCTTTTTGGGGGTTTTTTGGCCCCAAAATCCAACGTTTTCTCATTAGAGGGGAGTTGGGATTTTGGGGGTAGAATTGGGAGGTTTTGGGTTTGGGGGAATTGGTGAAATTTGGGTTTTTTGGGGGTGGGATTTGGGGTTCGGGGATCCGGGGGAATTTTTTGGGGTGGAATT